CACTTTACTAAACGACAGTTAAAGAATCACATTATCATTATTTAATTATGATTAAATTTAATCGGAAATAAAGCAAAAAAAGGGGTAAGAGTAGTGCTCCTTGACAGTGAATGCTTTATATGTTTTTGAATATAAAATCGGATTAATTTGTAGATATAAAGCATTTTGAACCAAAAACATATTACAATCGGACCATGGTCAAACCAAATTTACTACTTACTGTATATGCTTTTTACATAATGTAATTTGTATTTTGAACCAAAAAGTTTTTTTTTTTTCATCTGAAACTTATTGTTAAAACTTTGAGATTACAAAATCTCTGGAACCAAAAACACAAAGAACACAAACGAGGAAAACATAAAAACTACGAGCCTACTGCAAGAAGAAAATTAATAAACCGCAAAGGATCAAAACAAGTACATGCACGAAACAAAATTAAAAACAACAAAATCCGATATTTAGTCAGACAATGCTAACCTACAAGCAATGTAACCAAACTGTGAAGGCTTTTAAAACAAACAAAAAATCTTGAAAGTTAAAATTTATCCAATCAGACTTTTTTAAATTTAAAGTCTCGAAATTCCTAAAATTTCTCCTAAAATTTCTCACAGCCATTTTTTTTAGTTTTTGCCTTTGGTTCGAGAGTTCTTTTCAAAGCCTTAAAAATTGGACTTTTACTTTTTTTTTTAAAGTCACATTCAGTTATTCAAAAATAAAAGTTTTTACAGTAAATTATTTTTTTTTAAGTCTAAAGCCAAAAGTTTTTAAAGTTACAAACAATCACCCCCTAAATTAGAGTAACACCAAAATGGAGTTGAATTTTCCTCCAATGTATTAACCCATTTTCTACAAACTTTAGTAAATCTATTGATTTTAGAAATCAATCAATTTTATGAGATCTCAACTCCCAATAAGGCCCCCTGAGCTTGTAGAGAGTTGTGTGTATTTACGAAGTTTAGTTATAAGAATTCTAAGAGTCCAATGATTTTCCAAAGTATTTTGGAAAGCTTGTTTAACGAGTAAATTTACAAGAAATACATCTACAAATAACACTAGATTCATTAGATTTATAAAATCAATAAAAGCTAAAATTTTT